TGAGCTTCAGTTTCAGTATCTGTCCTCCCAAAGAACAGTCAGGGTTGATTTCCTTTAGGATTGACTGATTTGATCTTCTTGCAGCCTAAGGGACTCTCAACAGTCTTCTCCAGCACCACAATTTGAAAGCTCTTTAGTGCTCAGCCTTCCTTATAGTTCAATTTTCTTCCATTAAATAGATGCTATGCCAGGGAAAACCACTCAATGAAAGTTGATTTCTAATTGGATTTGTAACTAAAATAGCGTATGTGACCATTCTTAATCAATTTCCAGAATATATCACTTAGGTGAGATAGGCAGGGTAGAAAGAATAATTAAATAACATGTAATTATTTAATTGTTTTTCTGTGTCACTAATAAAATGATTTTTGTTAGCAGGCAGTAATATCTCACTGCAGACATGTCAAACACAAGGCCCGGGGGTCGGATGCGGCCCACGAAGTGGTTTCATGTGGCCCGCGAAGCCATCCTGGAAACAGTGAGGGAACGGCTCCTGCTGCCTTGGCCCTGGCCCAGGCCAGCCGGGAGCCAATGTACAATTTTGTGGTGGCCAGCTTGGCAATTGCCCCAGTGGTCCATGCCTTGGCACTTGCCCTGGTCCTACCGCCTTCTGCCAGAGACCCTCAGATCTGTCCCACTCCTGCCCAGGCCCCCACAGGCACCCTTGATGCGAATGATGTAGAACTGGCCATGCCCATCCAGTAGGCCACACCCACTCCATCCACGCCCACCCAGTAGGCTGCACCCACTCTGGCAACACCCACCCGGCCCCCCCAAGGGCAACCGCAATGCTGATGCGGCCCTCAGTGAAATTGAGTTTGACACCCCTGTCTAACTGGGTTAAACAAATGTTAACTCAAAACCCACAGTAGTTTCTGGAAATGCACATTCAATCACTATTTTCTTTTTATCAATAATAGAACCAGTTTAAAATGTCAGGTAGTTTAGGTGCTGGAAGGAAAGCATGGCTACCACTTATCATGTGACTTTTCTTCCTACTTCTTCCAACACCAACTATTGACACATTTTGTTTTCCGGCTAAACCATTCTTTATGTTTCATAAGGAAGTTTTTTACATGTATAAACGTGCAGAACCTCACCTGGTAAATTGTTAATAATTTCACAAATATATCTGATTATATCTACATAGTCTCTCTCCCCAAGTTGTTACGGTAAATTGCTTTTAGTTCTTCCTGTAAAAGTTTAAAATGAAAAGTTATATGTTATCTTAGGTGGCTCCATGCATGTCTATTCATAAGCTTTTTTTAATGCTTTTAAAAAAACATTCTGGAATTGTTTTGTTCAGATCAAGTATGCTATAGTCAACTTTTCTAATCACGATAAAATAAAATGATTTTTGTTAGCAGGCAGTAATATCTTACTGGATTAACAACAAAGATGATTAGGGGACTGGAGGCTAAAGCATATAAGGAACAGTGCTGGAATTGGGTATGTCTAGTTTAATGAAGAGAAGGATGAGGGGGGGGGGAACATGATAGCAGTGTTCCAATATCTCAGGGGCTGCCACAAAGAAGAGGGAGTCAAGGTATTCTCCAAAGCGCCTGAAGGCGGGACAAGAAGCAAAGGATGGAAACTAATCAAGGAGAGAAGCAACCTAGAACTAAGGAGAAACTTCCTGACAGTTAGAACAATTAACCAGTGGAACAACCTGCCTCCAGAAGTGGTGAATGCTCCAACACTGGAGGTTTTTAAGAAGAGACTGGACAGCCATTTGTCCGAAATGGTATAGGGTTTCCTGCCTGAGCAGGGGGTTGGACTAGATGACCNCAAAAATACTGTATATGCATCCATAACAAGCAACCATCACTCTAAAGTCATGTTGACAATCCTTTAAATTTCAGTGCAAAATATGGCAATAGTAGGACAAGTTTGAACCACATATATATTTTAATTTCCTGGATTGCATTTTTAACAGGAAGGTGATATGCATGCACAAAACATAAATTTTCTTGTCATGTTCTTAGCCAGTAATAGGGGTCAAACTAGATATAACATAAAATTCAGCTCTGCATTATGTCAATTGTTTTTGAAATCCATCTGGGATTTGAATATCTTCCCCTTTTTCCTACATTATTCTGATCTTTTATAATTGATATTTGCTCAATAGAAAAATGTTCCCAATAGTGCATGTTAACCTACTTCCAATGTAGGAACACAGTTCAGATGTATCAAATTGCACAGCAAGATTGCACTGCTCTATTGTCATGCCTATAGATTGGGTACACAAAATTAAGGATGGAAAATTGTGATGAAATAAAATACATTTTTGCATAAAAAGACAGTTTAGAATGGCTAGTTTAGAATATTATGGAAAAGTAAAAAGTTGAGGTTCAATGTTAATGCTTCCTTCCTACTGCAACAGTGGAACTCAGAAGTCAATTCCTTTTTTCTTTTTCCCTTCTCCCCATCACTTTTCCCTTTTTCTCTCACCCTTTCGCACAAAACCACTCACATAATATAGATGTATTGAAGGCTAACTGACAAGGAAGCTTCAGTTCCTCCATTGGCTGTGAGTGTGTTCCCTACCATTTTGCACCACAAGAGGCTTTGAGCTGCCTAAGGATCCATAAAGGCTTTAGGGAGACTTTAAACACTGTAATATTTAATTTAATCTGGAGAGGAGATGTATTAATACATGGCTGGAATAATTATATTAATTATATATAATTTCAATGAAGTAGAAATACAAATAATATCAAACCAAAATTGCTGCACCCAGTCCATATATGCCATTTAGAAGCTGTGTTGTCCCTTGGTTTATACAGAATTGCATACTTCCGCTTTAGAATTTTGTCTTTTATTTACTATTTAGCACAAATAAACTTCTAAAAATCTTAATGAATACAATAACAACTTGAATCTTACAACTTTAAAAAAAACTAATGACACTTCAATAACTTGTGTTATTTTCATGCTTCAGTAAACAACTCAATATTATGGCACCATCATGTGGTCATTTATTACATTATTTATATTATTTAAATTTATCTCAATTCAGGAACAGGTATAATGATGGAAGTGAATATACTGACTTGGAACCATGGTCCAACTAATATATTGCTGCAGAGGTGAGTTTTATTGTAGTTAGTGAGACTTATCTCAAGAATATGTGAACAGATTTCAAATTTGGAAAACAGGCTTAGGTTCATTTTGCAATTTACAATATGCTGCATTACTTAAGAGAGTAAAGATTGTTCAAGGAAAATACCTAATGCTCTTTTTAGAACCTAGGTATTGATTTGCCATCCTTAGTTAAGGAAACCCTTCCCATTTTTTAAATAAAGATTCACTTAGAGAAAGCAGTATACTAGTTAACACATTTCAAGTAAAATTTGCACACAAATTTAAAATGTAACAAAATAGTAAACGTTTCTCTAGCCCCCCTGCTCCCCCCCACTACAGCATATGCTAAAATTGTGTTAAATTATGTTTCATCTCCCTGACCTGGATCGACCAAGTGTTTAAGATAAGATCCAGATTTATTACTTTCTTTTTTATATTGTGTTGGGTGTATTTTAATGGTATACAATCCAGAATTATTGCCCACAAATTTGACTTATGAACAAATAATAAAAAAAAATTAAACTGGAAGAAATAGTAATTTCAGTTAAAATTATTGGGAGGAAGCATCAACATTGTTGGTTACTTTCCTACAATGTTAGTGCACTGATACATTTTGATAGCTGGAAGTGAGGAATATAGTTCAGGAGCCACAGTTTGTTTAAGAAGCCACACAGAAAAACAAAGCATCAATTTTAACCCATTAATTTTGTTACTTATTATATTCCACCTTTCCTCTAAGAGATTTAGGCAACAAGGCATACTGTGTAGAACTCTACATTTTCTTCTTACAACAATCCTGCGAGAGAGAGACTAGGCTGGAATCAGATTCCAACCATAGTGGACTTTCCAAATGAGAGTGAGTTTAAACCTGAATTACTTTAATTACACCACCCCACCTTGTCATGTTTTTCCAAAAAAAGGCAATCTGGTTTGTGAATACAGTACTCAATAGCCACAAGTGATTTGCTCTGCTGAGAGCCAACAGTTGAGTTGGAGAGCCACAGTTCCTTCACGTTGGACATAGGATGAAGATTTGTATTTCTTTAACACACTGCATCAGAGTTGTACATTATGAACAGTGGGAGAAATTTACCTGGAATCATTCACCACAATGGTGTAATTTACTTTACTCAGGTTTGTTGAACAAGCCATAGTAACCTGGTTAATATACTTTACTGTAAACTATGGATTACAAACCATAACGGCTGAATTTATAAATTACGTTAGAAATAAAACCAGTGTTTTAATAGTTCAATAGGGTTGTGAAGTCTTACTTGGTTTAATTTACTACATACACGAGTTAGTATGTTTTGCAAATCCGCCCTCGAACGAGCGACATTTGAGCCCAGATGGAATCAGAAAGAGACCAGAGAGAACTTGGCGGCAAACGTCTGTTTTCCCTTTTGCTTTCTCCTTAATCAGTCTGGAAACTTTGGGGTCTTCTTTACGCCAATCCCTCCCCCCCGCCCCATTCATGAAGTTAGAGCAGTGTTTCTCAACCTTGACAATTTTAAGGCATGTGGACTTCAACTCCCAGAATTCCACAGCCAGCAATGCTGGCTGTGGAATTCTGGGAGTTGAAGTCCACATGCCTTAAAATTGTCAAGGTTGAGAAACACTGAGTTAGAGCTTTCAACTCATGGCATCAATATCCCTAAGAACATATTAGCTGGTGCTCTGTGCCGAGCTCTCGGGTCTTTTGTTTTTCAATATTTTTAAATGATATAAAAGAAAATAAGAAGTTATGACATCAAAGCAACCGAAAACATTCCGTTCTGCCAGCTATTAGCATAAACACGAAGCCGCCCACCTTCTTCGGGAGCGCGCATCTTCTGGGGCCGCCTCTTCGGGAGCTGCTTAGTCCCGCCCACGGCGTGCTCCCGTCAAAAACAGTGCGCGTGCACGGCAATGGGCGTGCCGGACGCGTATCTCCCGGGGTTGTTTTCCGGTCTTGGAAAGTAAGGGAGAGGGAGCCGAAGAGGCTCTGGCGAGCGGAGACGGCCTCCTTGCTTGTTTTAGTCGCCATGGGTTTCTTGCGGCGCTTGTGTCTGCTGTGCCTCCCCTTGTTCCTCTCGACTCTGAATACCATGGTCCTGGGCACTTTGGCGACCGCTGGGCAAGGAAGTAAGAAGAGACCCCGGACCTGCTGTGGGACAAGGGCGGTGGAGGCGGCCGGGGGATTGTTTGCCAATGTTGTTGGAGCAGTTGCGAGGCTCTTGTACAGTTTGTGCAGCCGCTTCGGCTTCTCTTCATCTTTGAGTCTGAGCTTAAAAAGCAAAGAGAGCACCGGGCGTACTTTGGAGAATGGGGGCGGAGAGGAGAATACGGTGCCAGTCTTGTGGCCTGGTCTCCGGATCCCTGTGTTTGCTATGATATGGGTGTCTGGATGAGAAAGCAGGTGAAAAAGAAACCCTGTAACTCAAGGGTGGACAGCAACAACAACCTCTGGCTCTGCAGAGGTTGAACTAACGCTCTCAGCCTGCCTCATAATTTGAAATTAATGGGAGGTGCATTTTGTCACCACCTGCAAAACTACATATTTGTATTCCGGAGTACGGATATTTAATCTGTTGCTTAACTATTGAACTAATTTAAAAGTTTGTTTTTATTGTATTCAACATTGCCTTTCCCTTTTCCAATTTTTGAAATTCAAATAACTATGAAAGTGCCCCATAACAAAAAGCATCCTAAAACACAATACCCGTTTTTCCATTGTATAGGAGATGCCAAGTATGTTGCTTCGAAACTTTTATACCGATTAATATTTCAACTAATTAAAACTGAATGTATAGTTCCCGGAACTTATTGGATCTTTCTTTTGAGTAAAGCGTAAATAGGACTGCAATCTGAGATGGCTTTAATTTGATGATACCAGTGGTTCCCAATCCTCTGGCCATGGCCTGTTAGGATCCGGGCTGCACAACTGGAGGTGAATGGTGGGTGAGCAAGTGAAACCAAAACCATCCCCCCTCCTGGTTGTTGGAAAAATTGTTTTTCACAAAACCAGTCCCTGGTGCCAAAAAGGTTGCAGACCACTGTTCTAGGCAATCCAAAAAGGGAATTGTGAATGTATGTGTCTTCGTATGCCTTTGAGTTAATGTTGCTTCCTGGTGACTGCCTGTACAAGTTTCTGTAGTTTCCTTGGAAAGTGTTTGCGAAAGTGGGTTGCCATTGCCAGTTTCCTAGGGCTGAGAAAGAGTGACTAGCCCAAAGTCATCCAGCTGAGTTCATGCCTCAGATGGGACTAGAACAAACAGTTTCTGGATTCTAGCCTGGTGCCTATACAAAACTGCCTTTCAAAATGGGATATAGCACTGATATAATAATTTACATCTAATCCTATTGGTCTGCATTCCTTGGACACAAATTCTGGCATTTGAGTTTAACACATTTAATTTGCATAAAGTAGGATGGTGGTATTACTTGTAAATGAAATGTCTGACCCCATAGTATATGCAACTACCAGAAAGCTAAAGCATTATGTGAAAGCCTTGATTCTAAAACAATTTTCTTATATTTGAATAAAGTACATTTAACATGTTAAGAATTGTGTAAAATTATTTGAGAGCCAGTTTGTTGTAAGTTATGGCTAGAAACCAGGAGACCATGAGTTCTAGTATTGCCTTAGGCACAAAGCCAGCTGGATGATCTTGGGCTAGTCATTTTCTCTGAGCCCTAGGAAGGAGGCAGGGAAAACCACTCTGATCTTTGCCAAGAAAACTAGAGGGACTTCTCCAGAAAGTCTCTGAGAATCGAACATAATTAAATGGAAAAAAGACTGCTTAGGTCTTTGATCTTAAAGTTGATGCTACATCTGAATATATGTCAGTTGGGAGGCTGCATAGTAGAATTATAAGCCTAATGTGTCTCATATTTATTTGCTTCATGTATCCAGTAGATCAGGGGTGTCAAACTCGCAACGTCACGTGTCGTGACATATCGGGACTTTTTTCCATTGCCACCAATGGGGTGGGCGCAGTTTTAGTATGACACATCCGGCCCATGGGCTGGCAGTTTGACACTCCTGCAATAGATCATAGTTGATGCTCAGTGTATCATTCACACACACAATTAATATGTCTTTATCATTGATAGAACCTGTAGGTGATAGGTTTAGGTACTGCTTTTGTAGAAGAGAAGCTTAACAGCTAACTTTAAGGTATAAAAACAATGTGTTGGATGTTGACTTACTGTTATCTCTCCAAACAAGAAGTAATCTATTATTACAGACAAATAGCTTTGATTCTTGACATTCAGTCACAAAGGATCCAGCTTTATGCCTAATTGCAAAACAAAACAAACAAAATCAGGAGGAAAGCTGAGAAAATGAAGAGATTAACTTAATTATTAATTAACTTATTTTCACAGTGGGGTGCCAGAAGTACACAAATAAAACTTGTGAAGAATGCCTGAAAAATGTCACAGTAAGTAACACAATTAGAAAACATCTGTTCTCTAAATAAAATCCTGATCTACACTTGCTTAATGCAGTGATTTCAAGGGCAGCCTAATCTAGAGCCATTCAGATATTCTGATTTATATAGCAAGTTCCTGTGTTATAAACTACTAAAACTAGTGTCATAAAAAATATTTCTGCATGTGTTATAAAGTGTATGTACATATTTACTCAGCTTCCTGATTAGGATATCATATGACTGTGTAGATAGTGGACTCTTGAAATAGAACCAGGTGGCTATATCTATATATTTTATTTAAGACTAGGAATGGTAACATAGTAGAAAAAAGTCTTAATAATTTTCAAGCAGAATTCTTTATTTAATTTTGTTTAAAAATGTGATAAGTTAAATTTCAAGAAAATACTGCAATTTCCTTTCTTGTACTACTATAATGCTCTGAAAAACATATTCACAGCCTATTTCAAACTGTTGCTAAATTCTGTTTAGAAAGTTTGAATCATATAATTATAGAACCTAAGCTAGTGCTAAAGAGCGAGGAAGGAAGATTTGCTCTTGAAAGTTAGATATTAATTATACAGAAATGGTATATTACTAATGAATGCAATTCAGTTTCATACATCAGATTCTTCAGTATGATGCCTAGGGATATCAATGTGCTTGCAGATATATCTTCCTTGGTGCTATATGAGTTCCCCATTCCATCTGACTTTATATCATTGCTAATACTTATAACAACAATAGGATGAAAAGCTCCAGCTTCCATTATCATCATAATTTCCAAGAATGCCTTGAGATTACAGATAATTTAATAATGTGAGTCATAAGATGGTGAAATGCTGCTCAGCCATAAAATGTCTACTCCATTTATCTGTTTGCACAATGGATTGGCTATTGTAAAAAAAAAAAAAAAACGTTTGTCATGCAAAAGAAAGCTAAGTACATCTGTCTTATTTCTAGTTTATGTTTATGCTTTCTACTTAAAAAGGATTTCTAAAAGGAAACTCAAAATGATGCAAAAGTACATTTATATTGCAGGTCTGTGTATTCTAATTTGGAAATTGGACCCATTGGACTTTATTCTGAGAATTGGGTACTGAATGTTTCAATACTTGAGCTGTTAATTACTAGTGGGCCCCAAAAGGTCTCCTGCTCTGCAGAATATGCAACTGCACTGGTGAAGCTACCTTTTTTTCAGATGAACAGAGTAAGAACGAGTGCATTTGAGAAACATACCTTGTTCTTGATGCTGCTTTGTGATAATCATCTGAAAGGGAAAATGAATTATAGCAGACATGTCAAACATGGATGCGGCCCGCGAAGTGGTTTCATGTGACCCGCGAAGCCATCCTGGAAACAGAGAGGGAATGGCCCCCGCTGCCTTGGCTGGCCCTGGCCCAGGCCGGCCGGGAGCCAATGTACAATTTTGTGGTGGCCATCTATGCTGAAATGCATTCAGTCTTAGTTCCACAAGGCCGTCCAGAAACAGCGAGGAACCAGTCCCTGCCGCGTTGGCCCTGCCCCCTGGGTGCATGCTGGGGAGGTGTCACCCTTTGTGAGGAATGAAGAAATGCACCATGTCTTGGCGCTTGCCCCGGTCCCACCCCCTTCTTCCAGAGACCCTCAGATCTGTCCCACTCCTGCCCAGGCCCCCATAGGCACCCTTGACGTGAACGATGTAGAGCTGGACACGCCCACCCAGTAGGCCACACCCACTCCATCCACACCCACCCGGCCCCCCAAGAGCAACCGCAATGCTGATGCGGCCCTCAATGAAATTGAGTTTGACACCCCTGAATTATAGCATCTATTCTTCACAACCTTGTTGTGTACATTCCAGGAGTAGAAATGTTTGGCATGGCACAGGATACTCAGGTCTGAATTTTGGTTCCCATCTGGTTGGAATTGTAGTATAAAACTAAATTGTAGTATAAAACTAAATATTAGTATTCTGTTGCATGATTTGTCTAGATTAATGTTTTGGGAAAGTTTCATTCTTCTAAGCCTGCTGTTTGTACTAAATCTCATAATTGTTTTTAGGCTGATACTCTGGAAATCCATTTCTACCCATTTGTGTGAAAGACAAAGTTAAAAACAGGGAACCGAGAGAATGAGTAATCTTAAACAACATTTTATTTTAGATAGGTTGGAAGGGTGGCAAAGAAGAAGAATAAAATGCAAGACATCAGCATGGGAGAGTCAGATGCATGACGTGTGGCATCTTAGTAGTGTGAAAGGGAGACATTACCTTGTAAAAGAGAACAGAAATTACTTTATTCAAAGAGAAGCTAGTTAAAGAGGAAAATGGCATAAAAAGATGATTATGTAATAGAGTAGCTTATAAGAAGGTTAAAGCAAAAACATGAAAAATGAAGGTCATCAGTGTGTAGTGGGGTGCCCCAGGGCTCTGTTCTGGGCCCAGTGCTCTTCAGCATCTTTATCAATGATTTGGATGAGGGGATAGATGGGGAACTCATCAAATTTGCAGACACCAAGCTGGCAGGAATAGCCAACACTCTAGAAGATAGTCTTAAGATACAGGAGGATCTTGACACACTTGGGCGCTATCTAACAAAATGAAATTCAGTGGTAAAAACGTACATTTAGGCAAGAAAAACCAAATCCACAGGTATAGTATAGTGGTACCTTGCTCAACAGTAGTAACTGTGAGAGGGATTGTCCTAGTGGACAATCACATAAATATGAGCCAGCAGTGTGCTAGACTGCATTAACAGAGCTAGACTGCATTAACAGAGGGATAGAATCAAGATCACGTGAAGTGTTAATACCACTTTATAATGCCTTGATAAGGCCACACTTGGAATACTCCATCCAGTTTTGGTCGCCATGATGTAAAAAAGATGTTGAGACTCTAGAAAGAGTACAGAGAAGAGCAACAAAGATGATTAGGGGACTGGAGGCTAAAACATACAGTATAAAGAATGGTTGTTGGAATTGGATATGTCTAGTTTAATGAAGAGAAGGACGAGGGGTGACATGATAGCAGTGTTCCAATATCTCGGGGGTTGCCACAAAGAGGGAGTCAAGCTATTCTCCGAAGCACCTGAAGGCAGGACAAGAAGCAAAGGATGGAAACTAATCAAAGAGAGAAGCAACCTAGAACTAAGGAGAAATTTCCTGAGAGTTAGAACAATTAATCAATGGAACAACCTGACTCCAGAAGTTGTGAATGCTCCAACACTGGAAGTTTTTAAGAAGAGACTGGACAGCCATTTGTCTGAAATGGTATAGAGTTTCCTGCCTGAGCAGGGGGTTGGGCTAGAAAACCTCCAAGGTCCCTTCCAACTCTTCTTCTTCTTTTACTACTACTGCTGCTGCTGCTGCTACTACTACTACTACCATCATCATCATCATCATCAACTTGCTATAAAATTTATATGAAACAAATACTAGGGGAAAGCAGAAAATGTTTACAATTGTTAAAAATAAGTTTTATTGTATTTAATTGTTCGGAAAAACAATGATCTAAACTAACTTTTCACACTTTTGAAATTGAAATGGATACGTTTTTGAAATATATAAAGTTAGCAATATTTTAAACTCCAAACTTAAGTTCCACACTAGCCAAGAATCAGTGTTATAGCTTTGCTGTTTGACAGGAGCAGGGAAGCCACCTGTACAAAAGTAACATCTCATAAGGTATTATGAAGAATAGGAGTTGTAAAAGTCTCTTCAGCAATAATTTTGTTTCCTACGGTCGTCATAGTAAAGCCTGCACTGCAACTCAGTTTAGCAGATACAGTGGAGCAGACACTTTGCCATGTTACAAATGCATAAAGTCCAATTGGCTACTTTATACATGTGTATAATGGTGCTATGCATGCAAACAAAATCCAGTCACCCTCCAAAGGATATTTGCGTACACCAGACACATTTCCCTCCTTAATCCATTACAGTGAGAGGTTACTGTTATCTTCTGTGGTTTATGTATCAGCTAATTTGCTTACTAAGCATTCTGTACAATAATAAACTGCATTGATACATTTTAATACTTATTTGAAATATAAATAATCAAAAAACTGAAATACATGATGGAGAGAAAGTGGATAAAACGACTGCAAATCACTGCAAAGAAGGTAATTGTATATTGCTTTATAGAGTGAGCACAAAATGTACTGTTTCCAACAAAGAAACATGTAAAGCTGAAGAATCTCTAATATTATATTAAATATGAAAATTGTAATTATCAAACAATGTACTGATATACACATTATGACAATATGAAAAGCTTCAGGTTCCATTAGGAAAGTGATGCACTCTGCATGATACAAGAAAATATGTAACTTTGAATCGGTGTATTTCGAATAGTGACAGCTTATCTTGGTAACAGATTATTCCTTAAACAGGTTGCCGTTATTATAACTACCTGAAAATGAAAGGAGGAAAAGACTATCTTAATGAATATTAAAAAAACAGGATGTGCAGCATCTAGTGTGACTTAACGTTTGTAAGGCATGGGGCAAAGATTGAAGAAAAGTCTTGATGGAAGTTGAGAAATGCTCTACTTTAATGTTTAGCTAACAGCCATTGACAGAGCTCACTTTTTAATTAACCTGTCAGTTAAGCCTGCCTGTATGTTTGCAAGTTAAAATTCTTAAATCAAGCATTTCTAAAGCCTTTGATGCCAGATTAGGACAAAAGTGTTATTCAGTTCTGGAACTTAATTGGACTTGCTGTACCCCATGGGCACAAAATACTTGTACTGATTAACAGAAATCCTGCTTATCCGAAGGGTTTATATCAAACTAACTGTTTAAATGCTGTTCACAAGTTTTTACCTATTTGTTTCTCTGTTCTTTACTTTGCAAATGTTCTTGTTTATAAATTTTAGTATCTTTTTCATAATACTAGTGCATAATGTTTTTCAAAAGACCACTTGTGTGCTCCTTTTTTTCTTTAAAATTCTGAATTGGATTTTTTTTCTTTAACTCTCTTGGCATATTATGTGCTAAATTCAGCATTTTGATAAGCATTGCTGAATTGGTTTAATGAATAGCATCCTGTTTTCTTCATGGGCAAACAAATGTTTCTAAAAGTATAGGACAGAAACTGTGTTGGTCATTCCTGCTGGTGACCTGTGGCAGGACCTGGATGAGGACCATGACCCTATCCTGTTGGATTTCTTGGCAGTCTTTAATAGCCTCAAAAATAATATCATCCTTCTGGATGCCTGGACTGAAAGGGATGGGAATTGGGAACACTGTTTAATGGTGGCTCTGCTCTTTCCTGAATGGACATTCTCAGTTAGGGGTGACAAGGAGAATGAAAGGTTGAGCCATTGTGCATTCAGTATGAAATGCCACAATGCTTGATTCTTTTATTTCATTTAACATCTACATTGAGCCCTTTGCCCAGCTAGTGGACCACTGATGACTGTTCTTATCTAATAAAGACCGCTCATCCTTTGTCAGTTTGGATAATTTATTGTTACTTACGCCATCTAGAAACTCCAGACATAGCAAAGATAGCAGTCTACCTACATGCATTGATAACTTGTTATTGCCATATAAAGTTGGTTCCATGATTACCAGTTAATTTCTCAGTATAATTCAAGGTGCTGGTGATAGCTTGAAGCTTGAACATCTCCCAGAGTACTTACTTGAAATAAAATCTTCTTGAGGCATGCCAATAGAGAGTATATACTAAGGATTCCCAATCACATGACAGGACTTAGAAGTGACCATTTTCTGCTGAAGCTGCCCTATTATAGAATGTCTTGCCACCAGAAATGTGCCTTTGGCTCTCATTCTTGATACATATGAAGCTGGTGATTCATTGTATTGATACAAATTTTATTGTACTGTTGATTTTTATTATTCTTTGACTTGCATGCTGTTTCAAGGTATGTAACATAAGCAACACCCCCTCAAAAGTTTGTAATGCATAATAAAGTACAGGTTCATTTATTGACTTTTGCAATCTCTCTTAGCTTGTGTTATTTAATCACATTTTTTTCTTCCAGTGTTTATGGTGCAGTAGCAGCAAAAAATGCGTGGAGTATCCTGTTCGGAATATCCTCCCTCCACGTTCTCTTTGTGAGCTGAGCTCTGCACGCTGGGGTGTATGTTGGGGTAAGTTCACTCTAGAAATTTTCTTTTAGTTGTCATTAGCCTGCTATGTTTCAGACAATACCCTTCCTCCGGCAAATATTTCATATTACTATAAACTCTTGTAGGATTAACTTTTTAACAAGCTTACAGTTTCTTTGCAACATGTACAGTTCAAATTACCATGGCTTTCAAGATGATAGGAAGAGAACCTCTTTTAGTATCAGCCATCAGTATCTCCCAGTTGTGTCATATAAATATTTAATAGATTAAAAATTGATCAGTTGCTAATCAATATAAATATTAAGCCTGTGGTGATTGCACAAGGAGTTGCAAACAAAGTCAATTTGGTGTAGTGATTAAAGTACAGGTCTAGAAACCAGGAGACTGAGTTCTGTCTTGCCTAAGGCATGAAAACTAGCTGGATGACTTTGGACCACTCACACACACTTAGCCTAACTCATCTCAGGGTTGCTATTATGGAGAAAATAGGAGGAGGAAAGATTATTAGATAAGTTCGCCACCTTGAGTTATTTATAAAGTAATAAAGGCAGGATAAAAATCTAATAAACAAACAAATAAACAGGATATGACTGTATTGTATCATTCTCTGAAGCATTTGGTAACTAGAAAATATGCAGCTTCTAATTTTGAAAATTCGTATTCATGACTATGCGAGTTAAATTTTTTGGGGGCAGTCATCTCAGTGGCAGCTGATCCCCCCCATTTTAACTCTCATAGTCATGAATATGAACTTTCAAATTTCATATTCATGACTATGAATGTTAAAATATTGGTGGGGGAAAATCAGCCACCACTGAAACTAAATATATTCAATTATTTTTACTGCAGGGGGCTTTAATTTGCTTCTTCACAACTCATTTGTATGAAACTGCTCTAATATATATAGGTTCCTCAGGATATAAGCTTTCAATCTTTGCTTGAAATAATTTATCTTTTTAAATAAACAATTAGGGCTCTAAATTGATTAAATGAATACTTCTTTGGCAACTAAGGCACTAACTTTTTTGTATTTAAATATTTCAGTGAATTTTGAAGCACTGATCATTACCATGTCTGTAGTGGGAGGAATAATCCTCATCACACTTTTCATCTGTTGCTGTTTCTGCTGCAGGAAAAAAAAGAACAGAAAGCAAGTATCAAATGATTTTGGGGGAATTTTATATTAGAATAGCAATCAGTTTTAATAAAGTTTTTATTAAATACATTTTTAAAAGAATAAAAAGACAAATTTTGAAAGAGGAGTAATAAGTAAAAAAAGAGACATGAAAAATAGCAATAGCACTTAGATTTATAACTGCTTTATAGTGCTTTACAACACTCTCTAACTACAGTTATCTAAAATTGCTTTTTTTCCTTGTCTCTTTTTTGGGAGAGCTTCTTCTTTTGTTATATAAAATGTCCCCTCATAAAAGCTGTAGTTGCGCCCCTAATCATCTTTATGTCTGTACCTTTATTAAAATTATTAAAAATTATTTTGTTTTTTTAATCATCCATTTCTGAAACAATGTTTCATTTAACCTCCCTCTGAAAGGATCAATTTTCTTTTTAAGTGCTAAAGGCACTGGGTTGTGTCTGAAAAGGTCCTTGGCAGTATCTCCACTTTGTGAACACTAGTAACCAAATTCTTAGATATCTAAAATTTCAATTCTTGAAAAAAATCTACAGATAGTCCTCAACTTACGACCACAATTGAACCCAAAATTGATGTTTGCTAAGTGAAACATTTGTTAAGTAACTATTACCCCATTTTACGACCTTTCTTGCCACAGTTGTTAAATGAATCACTGCACTTGCTAAGTTAGTCACGTGATTGTTAAGTGAATCTGGCTTCCCCATTGACTTTGCTTGTCAAAAGGTCGCAAAAACTGATCGTATGACTCCAGGACATGCATGACCCCAGGACATTTGAACGGTCATAAATATGAACCAGTTGCCAAGCATCTCAATTTTGATCATGTGACCATAGGGATGCTGCAAAGGTCGTAAGTATGAAAAATGGTCATAAGTCCCTTTTTTTTAGCACCATTGTAACTTCAAACAGTCACTAAATGAACTGTTGTAAGTTGAGGATTACTTGTACTGTATGTCTTTGGGGAAAAAAGTATATTCTTTTGCACCACCATTTTTGTATCTCCATGCATCCATAAGTTCTAAATTGTCTATCGTATTTTTTTTTTAAAAAAAAACCTCTTGGTAATTTACCTTGTGTCATTTTAATATCTTTCTCAAAAATTCAATCTTTTTGTGGACACATTACTCCATTCCAATCTCCCATTATAAATCAACTTTCATATGGTAAGTCTATTAGTTTATCCATAAGACCTTTTGTAAAATGTTATTTTAGCCTGATTTGGAGCATAAATTCCCATTATTGGAGTCTTGGCCCTATGCAAATAGCTTGAATCCCACATATTTACCATAATTAACAGTCAGTATTAGTTCTCGTTGTAATTAGGGGTTTATATATAAACTATTTCTCTTTTTGGCTCCTGCTGAACTAAATTCTTTACTCATATTTTTGCAACTCAAATATTTTATATCCTTTTTTCTTATATGCATTTCTTTGAACAAATTACAGAATAACAAAGTTGGAAGGGACCTTGGAGTTCCTTCTAGTCCAACCCCCTGCTTAAGTAGGAGATCATACCATTTCAGACAAATGATTGTCCAATCTCTTCTTAAAAACCTCCAGTGATGCAGTACCCACAACTTTGAAGGCAAGCGGTTCCACTGATTAACTGTTCTAACTATCAAGAAATGTCTCCTTATTTCTAGGTTGCTTCTCTCCTTAATTAGTTTCCATCTATTGCTTCTAGTTCTACCTTCAGGGGCTTTGGAGAATAGGTTGACCTCCTCTTCTTTGTGGCAGTCCCTTAGATATTGATAGACACTGCTATCATGTCACCCTAATCTGTCTTTTCATTAAACTTATCCAATTCCTGCAACCGTACTTTATATGTCATAAAATGTTCATACATTTTAGTTCCAGTCGCTTTATCATCTTTGTTGTTTTTGTCTGCACTCTTTCTAGAGTCTCAACATTGTTTTATATCATGGTGACCAAAATTGGATATAATATTCCAAGTGTGGTCTTACCAAGGCATTATAAAGTGGTACTAACGCTTGAATTTATGCCTTACATCTTGTTTCAATTTTTTTTATAATGAAATAATTTTCTTCCTTTTTGAGGAGCATTTGCTCCATATATACGCCACATTAGGCATTTAAAGAGAGCCAGTTTGGTTTAATGGTGAAGGCACCAGGCTAGAAACCAGGAGGCTGCGAGTTCTAATCCTGCCTTAGGCATAAAAACCAGCTGGCTGACTTTGGGCTAGTGCTAGTCATTCTCTCTCAATTCACAATATTAGGTTCAGATAACAGTCAATCAATCTGTGTCATAACTAATGGATCAACATTCTGTTGATCTGAAAAAAAGCAGATTGTACTTCCAGGAAAAACGTTAGGAAGAAAAAAATAGGAATTTAAAATCCACATATGCCAGAAACTTAGAAATATCAATATCTGTAGCACCTCACAAGGTGATCTTCTCATTATTTTCTTGTGGCTGTTGTCTGGGTTCCTCTATCACTTCCATTTACATTTCTTCCATTTCCCTTTGAATTTTAATTCTAGGGATTCTCTTAGTTTTTGGACTGAATTTATTTAAACCTGTGTTCAAAAGGGAAGATTACTTTTTCCAATTTATCCCAGCGAAGTGGTATATTTACTGTTTGAACTTGTCAGTAAAAATAAAATACTCTTTTTATTGTGCAGTAGCCTGATTCTGATTGGGATTTGTTTAAGTACAGTCATAATCTGCATTATTAATCTATCTGGAAGTAAAAAGTGGCTGTAAAACGTGATCTCTACTCTTCCTCCTAACGAAGTGCACAATAATATCTCTTGGTATATTTCTTATTTTTGCAAATTGCATGTTGATTCTATGCACTTTGGAGAAATCCCTTTTTTATGCCTCCATGTCATTTGCATCCCATTCAAAAAAAAATTCTTAAAGACTGAACACCTGACTGATCTCCAATGTCTTCTCCAAAATCCTCTGGAACTGCTCTAAATCTCAAGCAAAATTATTTTTATCTCATTCCTATAATGTTGAATTGTCTAAGTTCTTTTCCTTCTCTATTAGTTCTGTTTTTGTTTCTAAAATTAAATTTTAGTTTCTAAAATTTTCACTTTATCGTTAATTTAACTTCTCTCATACGTTTTCCTATAGATTCTTCAATTTTTTTATAACTTCTTCTTTCATCTCTTCTTTACAAACCTTTCTTCCATTTCTTCCACTTTAAAAATAACTAGCTCTTTTTAAACATATTTTACAGATTCATGTATCTGCTTTTCCACCTGATCAATAATCTTTTGTAATATTTCTGGAGTAATCTCTATTTTCTCTCAGTTGCTCCAACAATCTTCCCCAAGGCTTGCAACCTTTCTGGTGGTTGCCATTCTTTTATTTATAATTCAAAAAATAAAAGTATATCAATTATGAAGATGAAAATAAAATGGCAAGCTATATACACACACACACCCTTCGCCTTTTCTATACCCTTAAGGTTTTATGTCAGTCTATTTTTCTATATTTTTAAATGACACAGTTGATCTCACATTACACTTATCACATGTTTTGTAAATTCCACTGCCTTTTATCTTTGATGTTGAACAATCTTCGTTTCCACAAAGATCTGGGACATCTGGTCTATTTATTTAATCAATTCCAAATAGCACCAACAGCACTTTCATCAGAATATTAATCTTTTTACATTTGTACCATTCTCTTTGTCCATTTATGTCTTTCTAAATCAAAATCTCTTTGCTTTGTTTTAAAGTGTTTAAAATATTATTTTCCTTTTTGCTTTATTTCCTGTAATTTGGAAGGAATGCTGACTCCTGTTTTCTCTGTCCTGCTGATTTCAAAGACTTTCTCAACTGTACATTTATTGTATCTGAAAGTGATTAAGAAAGTGTTTCCAAAGACTTGCCAGCCAGACATTCACCATTCACCCCCTCAGTGCCCTTTCTGTTCCTTCAGAGACATCTGTCTAGCCATGGAATCTCACCCAGATGCCATGATGACAGTCTATTTTTGCTTAATTTTTAATGGTTTGATGAGTTCATAATATGGAATAATGACACATGTTTTCAATAATCTTATTTTAAACAGGGCCGATAAAGAGGATGAAAAGACCGCCAGGGAAAGAGAGCAAAGGAGAGTTCGGCAGGAAGAAAGGTGCGTTCCTTCTAATTTATGGGTGCCAGTCGGGCTTGCTTTTTCTAGTCTTTGGTCATTCCATGCCAATCAAGAAATAAGACTTGCTTCACAATTGGATGTTTTCTTGAAATTTTGCGCAGATACGATAAATAGGAGTGTGCACAAAAAAGGAATTGTTTTTGCTTTGTGAATGAAGCAAACTTACTGTGATTGAATGTTTGTCCAAACTGTTTCCCATTTGACCAAAGCAAAACATATAACAGTTTCTGATAAGACAAAATCCAGAGTGGTTGTATGAATTGAAAAAGACAAGGCTGCTCCCTTCCTCTGCTTCTGCACTACTCCACTCCCCCTGTGCTCAACCTGCCTGCCAATTTTCCCAGCAACTTTCTTCCCTATAGCTGCAGTTTCATTTGAATCCAAACATGATTCACTTACTCATCTTTACCCTTCCTACTTTCCCAGTCGTTGCTGATGTCCCTGCCTTTATCCCACTGTTTACCATTCTGGAAGATATCTGTGTAGAACACCAAGCACAGATGTTTCAATCCAACAAGAGGAAAGTAGAAATATACTCACGCAGCAACTCTCAAAGTAGTCAACTCTTGTTGTCATGTACAGAGACATGTTGATCAAATCATCTAATACAGAGATGGCGAACTTTTTAGAGACCGAGTGCCCAAACTGCAATCCAAAACCCACTTACGTATCGTCAGATGCGGGTGGGCATGGCCTATTGGGTGGGTGTGGCTGCAGTGGTAACGGCAGACTGGGTGGGACTAAAAAGTTCAATCAATCAATTCCAACTTTGCAACATCTTTTTTTTTCCCCGCAAGAAGTTGAAATTGATTGATTGAACCTTTTTTTTTGCACACGGCGGCAGAGGCCTAAAGCGAAAAGCTTTTATAAAACCCAGCTGAAGGCCTAGGACTGGGGCGATGGTGCACGTGCCCACAGAGAGGGCTCTGCGTGCCACCTGTGGCACGCGTGCCATAGGTTCGCCACCACGGATCTAATAGATATTGAGCTCATGCTAGTGACTTGTGCTCTGGACTTTTTAAAATAGTGTAAAAAAAAAAAGCAGTTGGGACACATAACCTTATATTGATGTTTTGCTTTCCATAATAGGTCCCAGAATATTTTTTAATATAGTGTAATAAATAAGATCTCATTGTAGGAGTCCAAGATGTCCATATGATGAATTATCTGAAAATTCCATATTAGATTAACTGCATATGTGTGTGGTAATATATCTGTAATATATTACAGAATAATCAGTGCAATTCCTATATCTTTTTACAGCTAGATAGTAATGAATGAAAAGTTTGAAAATGTAAAGAATTTTTTTTTAAAAGCAACATTCTTGCATAAAGGATCCTACATTATCCAAAGTATTTCTGGACTTTAAAAAGAGATCTGTAAGCTGGTTATAAAGCACCTCCTTTTCTAAATCTTTTAGGGGAAATTACCTTAATATAGATAAGTCTCAGTTCCGTTTTTTAATGATTTGGACACAAATGTATTTTATTTATTTAGCGTTAGGGATGTACAGAATGTAAAATGCTTAGAACAAGCAATATAAAATGGTCTATATTTGGACTGAAATTGTGGAAGTAGTTTTGTGTTGATCAGATTAAATGAGACTTTTGTTAAATCTCTGCATTATATGCATTCACCCAATAATTTTCATTACATTATTTTAATGCTTGACTGGAACATTTTTTCCCCTCTGTTACTAGTGTGTGGAGAGGTTTTCTGGTAATTGTCCAGAATATCTTATAATTCTAACCCATTATATTTGTATTTATTTATTTTTGTTATTTGCCAGTTAAATGGTAATTTATTTGGATTTCCTTCTCTTCCTTCCATAAAATAACTTGCTTGATCTTTCATACAGGAGAGTAGAGATGAAATCTAGACATGATGAAATCCGGAAAAAATATGGTAATGTGTACTATATTTTACATCTTTTTAAAGTAAAGCCTTTGTTACAAAGCCATTTTTTGTAATAAAATACAGGGGTGAGATAAACTATCTTATATCATGATCTTTTTGTTACAAAGAATGTTGCTTACCATATTGGTGGGCTCTGATTATAAAGCCCCGAAATAGTTTTCAGGACTATATTCTTCCTTTCATGGCTGATATTTATTGACTCCTGCCTCTAAAGTTGAATTTGAAAGGGGTGGAGGAAAATAATTGCATGAATGGTGAATATAGACTGGCTTCAGTATTTGTGTTTCAGTAATTGTGATATGGACTTTGAAGTGTTTAGTGTCTTATCTAAAGAATGTAGAACATATTTCATATACTTATTAGCCAATATTCAGAAATAAAATACATGGTAATTTCTCTGCAACTGAAAATGCATGTATTTGAGAAAGCAATTTTACACAGTAGATATAAATAGCTTAACCGTAATAAATGTATAACGATTATTGAAATAATTGACATTGCTAATTTGAAGGTGTTGAATAATTTCTTTTTTCTTACTGTACCATATCATTACATCTGCAATCTGAATGTTAAATATTGACTATTGTAGGCTAAGGGATAGTACAGATTCAAGGAAAGCACAGTCCCATTTTCATTGGAAAAATGTTCTTTATTGCAATAATAAAAAGATATACCACAAGTTTATACTTTACATGAAACTACGGTAGTTTGTTTTATTTTTTTCTACCTTATTCTTACTTTGTTTTATATAATGCCTACTAGTTACTATGGCCTTATTTTATCTTGATATTCTTAATTTTAATCTATGTTATAATTTTGTTTAGCATGTTACAGTCTGTTTTCTGTTTTGAATTCCTGTATTTCTGTAACTTGTTTTGCTTTTTAATATGTGTCTTTCTACTTATAATTAATACTTTTAATAACTTTAAATCTGTCTTCTCTGTCCTACTTTAAACTTTAAGGCCATTTCTGCTATAAGTTCTTCATATTTTACTCCTTTCCCTGCAAAACCACTTGTTTGTTGATTCCAGCGAACCCACTGCTGTCTTCTCTTCTGGCCTCATGTGCTAGCAGCTGGCAAAGATCTACTGCTGGCTAGAGACCAGGATATTGTACAGCTGCCTCTTATTCCATGATCTGTCCCCAGTCCTCAGTGCTACCTCCCCGCTCAATGTATGAGGCATCTTTTTTTTTTTTTTTTTT